GTGTCCCCGCAGTCACTCACAGTGACACAGTGACAATCCCCGGTGTCCCCGCGGTGTCCCCAGTGTCACTCACCTCCACCATGACCCCGGCCGAGCCCTCACTCAGGACCCCCACGAGTCCCTGGCGCGGCCGCGCGGCCCCGGGGACAGCGGCACGAGCCCAACCCCGGCGGCGAGCGTCAGCCTCCAGCCACGCCTGGGCCTGGGGATGGGGACACGGGGACAGTGTCATCCTAATGTCACCCAAATGTCACCACAGTGACTGCTCATCGGCCTCCAGCCAGGCCTGGGCCTGGGACAGGGACAGTGTCACCCTAATGTCACCCCAGTCACTGCCTGTCCACCTCCAGCCGCGCCTGGGCCTGGGGATGGGGACAATGTCACCCCTGTGTCACCTCAGTGTCACCCCAGTGTCACCCCAGTGTCACCACAGTGACTGTCTATCGTCCTCCAGCCACGCCTGGGCCTGGGGATGGGGACATGGGGACAATGTCACCCTAATGTCACCCCAGTGTCACCACAGTGACTGTCCATCCGCCTCCAGCCACGCCTGGGCCTGGGGATGGGGACAATGTCACCCTAATGTCACCCTAATGTCACCCCAGTGTCACCCCAGTGACTGCTCATCAGCCTCCAGCCACGCCTGCGCCTGGGGACAAGGGACAGTGTCACCCCTGTGTCACCCCATCACTGCCCATCTGCCTCCAGCCAGGCCTGGGCCTGGGGATGGGGACAGTGTCACCCCAGTGTCACCCAAATGTCACCCCTGTCACTGTCCATCCGCCTCCAGCCACGCCTGGGCCTGGGGATGGGGACATGGGGACAATGTCACCTCAGTGTCACCCCAACGTCACCCCAGTCATTGCCTGTCCGCCTCCAGCCAGGCCTGAGCCTGGGGACAGGGACAGTGTCACCTCAGTGTCACCCTAATGACACCCCTGTCACTGTCCATTGACCTCCAGCCACGCCTGGGCCTGGGGATGGGGACAATGTCACCCCTGTGTCACCCTAATGTCACCTCAGTGTCACCCAAATGTCACCCCATCACTGCCCATCCGCCTCCAGCCAAGCCTGGGCCTGGGAATGGGACAATGTCACCTCAGGGGACAGCACAGTGTCCCTCTGTCATTGTCTATCGGCCTCCAGCCACGCCTGAGCCTGGGGACGGGGACAATGTCACCCTAATGTCACCCAAATGTCACCCCAGTGTCACCTCAGTCATTGCCTGTCCGCCTCCAGCCACGCCTGGGCCTGGGGACATGGGGACAGGGACAATGTCACCCCAATGTCCCTGTGTCACTGCCACTCAGCCTCAAGGAATAAATGGGACACAAAAGAGTCACCCCAGTGTCCTCTTGTCACCCTAATGTCCCCCTGTCACCCCAGTGTCCTCTGTCACCCCAGGGTCCCTCTGTCACTGTCCCTCACCCTGAAGGGACACCGGGGGGGGGGAGGGTCCCGCTCTCCTTCAGAGCCCCCAAAACTTGTCCAGCCCCTCCCCTCCC